CGAGGAAGCGCCCACCCTGCTCCTGTCCGAGCGGGAAATACGCCAGCTCTTCGATCGCGCCCGCTTCCGGCACGCCGCCTGACGTCACCCCCAAGATCGACACGCACGCGCCCGCGCACAGGGAAGCCGAGCCAGTCCTGGAACGGCGCGGAGTCCTCGAAGACGCCCCGGCACAGGTAGTCGTTGCACCGCTCGACTGCCAGCGCAGCAACGGCGAACCTGCCATCAGAAAGTAAGTGGCGCGAGATGGCACCGTAGAAATTCCAGCCCCTGAAAGTTGATTTGCTCGAGGCGACCCCCGCGGTGCTCCGAGCCAAAGGGCGCGGAGTCATGCCCCTTACCCCCCCCCCCCCCCTTTTGCGCACAACGCCTCGAGGCGAATATTGCCACCGCAACTTTTGCGCGCCATTCTCTGACCGCGATTGCCTTTCGGGCTTAGCTCGCGCGCCCTTTCCACCCCTAGCGGCGCGCCTGCGATCCTGGCCCTTTCCACCGAGAAACAATGCTGCACATTCATGCACGGCAAGACAAGCGGCGAACGCGGCCATTCCCCGCCTGCGCAACCCGCGCGCCCGCCCACCACCCACACCGCGCCCCCTACCCTTCCGATGGGATCCCCGACGCACTGGCATAGAACTCCTGACAGTTTTTTTTCACGCGTCGCATCCAGCGGCGATTAGCATGATGGTAGCCCAGGCGCAGGCAATGAGCAGCTGCATGGTCATCGCCAGCGGGTAGGTCTGACCAATCGATTTCAGCAACACCTGTCGATGAGACGGCGTCAGTGCCGGCTCCTGATTCGAAGGGCGAGTTGAGGCAGTCTGCTAAGCCTCAAACAGGGGGGGGGGGGGGGGGGGGCAGCTGGTGGCGCGGCACTGGCCGCGGCTATAGCTGGCCCTTGGCCCCAGCAGCCACTGTTCGGGCCGTTTTCCTGCGCGCTGCCAGTTTCCTGGCCTAGGAGCGTTGTGGATCTGTGTGTATACTGATCAGCCCAGATGTAGCCTGGCGCGGCCGCCGCCGCGTTGCTCTCGTCTGCGCGGAATGCACCGGCGCCATACCCTCGACCACTAAACACCCCGACGATGTCTCCAGGAGCGCGCTCAGCTAAGTGTCCGCAGCTGCGCATTCGCTTCAGCAGTTGGTCGCGTTGTTGTCAGTTTGGGGGCACCTGGTGGTTGAGGGGCTGTAACAATTGCGAGGCACGGGAGGTACCTCCTCCCAGGGCACGAAACAATAGGAGCGTCAAAATGGGTATGCTTCCATTCTGACAATTGCGAATCGGGCTAGCACCGAAACGAAACGTTCGCCTCGGTCGGCCCCAATGTCGATGAGACCTGCTCCTGGGGTCAACTGGCGCTCGTCCTCGAGAAATTCACATGTGGCGATGAGGGCGAGCATGATGCAAGTAACGGCCTCACTACGTTGACCCTATCGGGGCACGCCGTAGCTGGCGATCGAGGACGGCACTCTCATCGCCACCGTCCTGGCTAGGCCTCCGAGTCGCGCTGCAGTGCAAGGGCTTGTTGCGGTGGCGTCATCACCCCACATGTTACGTTGAGCCACGAGTGAACTTCGCGGACAAATTTGCGGAAAGGTACGTGGCCAGCAGGGTCCCAGTTAGGGCCCCTGGTGCGTGTATCGCCCATTCCTCGTTGCATGAACCCTACGACTAAACCAAGACGTACACATATGATACCAGAGATACTTACTTTGATGTAGCGCATAATGTAAGTAGCGTCGTGGGCCTTGTGGTTGGGGGCTGGCGTGGCCGTCAGCCTCCGAATGAGTGCAGGGACGTTATGGTTTTGCGCCTGGCCGCGCTATGATGGGTTGCCACTCGAAGAAATGGCCCCGAATAGCGCGTTACCGATTGGTTGATCATGGTTGGGGGCGCAGTGCCGTGGCATACACGTGTCGGCCGACGTGACCGCCGGTCGAAATGATGTCATGTGCACGCCAGTGCCCTGGCTCAGATCCCCGACGGGAAGCCAGCGCACTCGGGGGTACCACCATAAAAGTATTACACCAGTATGTTCCGTGGGATACTGGTATGAGAATCAATCCCAACCACATGAAAATAAGGGCATTTCCCCTACCAAGTCAAGAAGGATAGCCGAACCAGAAGCTACGCCTTAGGCGCGTGATAGCACTCCATGACTTGTCCATACCGCGAATATGAGCAGGTAGATGAGAGATAAGGCATGGGATGAGAGAAGACACCATCGAAGGATATTTGCCATCACTCAGGTGCAATAGTGCCCCGCCACTTGAGACACAAACGGCAACGGACGCAGGCGCGACGCTCTGAGTCTCTCCTGTGAACTCCCTGAAACGTCAAGATGGCCCCTAGGGGGCCTCAGAGAGCGCACGATGGCCCCCCAGATGGTTCAAGATAGCCCAGGGTGGCTCAACATGGTTGCCAGCATGCCTCAAAGGTCACAAGATCACCCCAAGACGGATCCAAATGGCCACCGTGCCTCACGAGGACGCCACCGAGAGGCCAACATCCGTTCAACACCGGGGGAACATCCATGTGCGGTGAAGTCTCGCTCTCCCGCTTCCAGCTGGATTTCGAAGCCTTAGTACGGCACCAAGGCGGCCCAAGAGAGCCCGAGCGAATGAATGAATGAATGAATGAATGAATGAATGAATGAAGCCGCGCGTCCGTAGGCACATGAGCAATGGCACGAGCGTGCGCTAGACAGTATGATGGCGCACTGCTGCTTTTCCAAGACAGGCCCGCAAGATGGCCCCACAAGTGCCCCAAGAGCGCCCCAAAGCCTCCCAAGAGGGTCCTGGGAGTAAGCTGTTCGGCCTGCGGAGGGGGGGGCGCGGAACCTCCACTCTTCCACTTGTTTTGAGGCCTCTAAAGGGATTCCGGGAGGTCTCCAAGACGCTGTCGGAGCGAAAGGTCCGCGATGGCCTTTGTGGTCAACTCGTTGACGTCGTCGTCGTCGGCGTCTTCGGCGTCGTCGTCGTCGCCGTCGGGGTCGACGGCGGCAGCGGCGTCGGCAACGTCGGCGGCGTCGGCGTCGGCGTCGGCGTCCGCGTCCGCGTCCGCGTCAGCGTCGGCGTCGGCGTCGGCGTCGGCGTCGGCGACGGCGTCGGCGGCGGCGTCGGCAACGGCGTCGGCGTCGTCGTCGTCGTCGTTGCCGTCGTCGTCGTCGGCGTCGTCGTGGTCGTGGTCGTGGTCGTCGTCGTCGTCAGTCGCCGTCATCGTCGTCGTCGTTCTCGGCGTCGTCGTCTCACTCTTTTTTCCCCTACCTCTTCGCCTTCGTCCTGCCTCCCCTACCTTCTCCTTCGTCATGCTTCCCCTCCTCGTCCTCCCTTCTGCCTCATCCTTATCCGCCTCTTCATGGGCTTCCTCCCCCTTCCACCTCCTCCTCCTCCTCCTCCTCCTCCTCCTCCTCCGGCTCCTCCTCCTCCTTCTCCTCCTCTTTCCAAAGACAACGGCCTTTCAGCCCCTCCGAGAGGGGCCTCGAGAAGACACCAAGAGAACCCAAAGAAGACCCCAAGATTGCCCCAGGAGTCCTCGAAGAAACTTTTAGATTGAAAGATCCTCCGACGCAAGGATGGCAGGAGAGAAACAGAAGTGCGGCCCTAGAAAACCGCCGCGGCATAGGAGCACATTAATGTTTAAACGTATGTTCCTGCCCCTTTTGACGCCCCCGCCGCGCTTCCAATGCGGCTGTTCCTCTGTGTGGTCAGACACTCCCTTGATCATGCCAGACGCATGGGCTTCGTTTCTGGATGGATGTGGTGTTCCTCCTGTCCTTGGAGTCTGGGCGGCCGTTCCACTGCATGATCCTACCCGTTCCTGGTCACAGCGACTCGCCAGGCGATCGTTTCTGGATGGGCATTGTGGGGAAGCGCGAAGCACCGATCGTTTGTGAAGGGCATCATACACTCTAGGGTTGTGGATGCCATGACAATGGACACTCTAACAATCCTATCGTTGAATGAACGATGTGCTTAAATGTGTAAAACATGTTCTAAAACGTTTCAAACATATGTTTACGTAGTGAAAACATGTTTGAAACATTTCTAGACATCTGGAAATTACTTGGCAGCACGCTTCCTCTCCATTAAGCGACTTCCACAAGTCTAGGGCCCAAGCCCCACTGGGATATTTGCGACCTGGACGGGGCCCTGTGATGCCAGGCTCCAGTCGCACTGGAGCCTGCAGAGGGCCGCAGATCCTGGGGATCATGTGACTTGGGGGCTGGAGGACAAGATCCACGCCCCGGTGAGGCACGCTGGGGTTCACTGATGGGCCGATACTCCACCGCCACTACCGCAGGTAGATAAGGGAGGAGGAGGAGGAGGAGGAGGAGGAGGAGGAGGAGGAGGAGGAGGAGGAGGAGGAGGGGGAAGCGGAGGAGGAAGCGGAGGAGGAGGACCTCCCCATCCTTTCTCCTCCCCCCCGTCCCACCTATGGCATCGGTGGCAGGAGGTTGGCGCGTCACTCACGCCGCATCATGGTCTAGAGAAGGGCGTCATGTCCTCCCGGGTTCACGCCCCATCACGATCTGCGAAGAACCCTGCGCGCCAATCTTCAAGCCTCTTGGAGAAACCAGCAGGCACCGATACCGCTGGCGCCCCAGACCTCCCGCGAGGTGCGCTCGGACTTCGAGGCGAGTCCAGGCGCGGCGACGAGCGCCTCCCAGCAGGCCCCGACAAGACGAAGCCGAGGCGAGGGCAGCGGTATCGGTCCCGTTCCTCCTCGTGAGCGTTTCTTTTTTATTCGGCATTTCGACACTGGGCGGAAGGGAAGGGGGGTGGGAGGGGGGGTTCTGGCTCCAGACCTCTGCTGAGTGCGACTGTTTGCAAGAGTGCGGCCTCTGGGGGAGGGACCCCACCCGCTCGAAACAGACGCCAAAAAACCGCCAATATCTACTCGATCGGGGGGGGGAGGGGGGGGGCAGGGGCCCGCACAGAGTGGCAAAACAATGAGAAACAACAAAAAAACGATCACCATTCCTCCTCTGACCCATGAGAACCACTGTTCCACGCGGCCGATTGCACGGATGTGCTCAAACGACGCCTGCTCAAGCTTGAGGTTGAATGCCACCTCGCTCGGGGTCGTCTCTGGCTGCGACAGCCCGGTGCTTGCCACTGCGAAACGCTCCGAACCGAGCTCCGCGCCCGGCGCGGACGACGAGGCGTCGGCCTGGGCCAGCTTAAACTCTGCTCGGCAGCGCAGTTGCCTCTCGGCCAGAAGCCCAACGAACAACTCGCGCTCGTTCCTCTCATTGGACCGCTTCCCAGTGGCGGCAAGCACCGTGAGCGCCAGGAGCCCGAGAACGGTGAAGGGCACCATGTCGGGACTCGGACTGCCGAGCCACAGCGCGAGCGTGGGGTATGCCACGACCGCAACCAGCTCCATGGGGATGAGCATCACCCAGCGGATCTGGAAGAGCCGACGAAAAGCACGCGCGCAGACTGTCGGAGGGTCCGCGAGGATGTCTGGGATCGGCGCCGGATCCCACTCGCCCGCCCCAAAAGCGTGCCAGGCGCGCCAGAGGCGGCGCTGGAGGCACCGCCAGGAGGGGCTCCAGCGCCGACTGGAGAGATCGGCGCGGACCTCCGAGCATTCGTGCTGGTGCCTCTGCTCGTTCTTCGAGGATTGGCAGCAGCAGGTGTAGAGAAGTGACGGTGCAGTCGACCATTACCACCACGAGGCCGTCGGTGCCGCCCAAATCCATTCCCCAAATGGTCTCCGGGTCATCATTCCCGAACGCCCGTGCTACGTAGTGCTTCGGGTGTAACACCATGGCAATCGCGACGCATACGCATCCAATCACAATCAAGATCTCCAATCCGCCACCGAGCCCCCGGGCAAGTTCAGGCGTGCTAGAATGCCAAGTGCTCTGTAGGGCTTGTGATATTCTGGATTCCCCGCCATCTAGTCTCACTTCGTTGCCTGCACCGGCCCCCCTCCCGAGGCCAGAATCCCCCGCAAAATATGACAGAATCGCACTGCCGAGGCAACAACCCTTGATACAATACATCAAATTCGCACTCCCGAAACCAAGACGCTTCTAAGACGGCCAAAGAGGGCTCCAAGACGGCCCAATGGGCACCCAAGATTGTTCAAGAGGGCCCCAAGAAGGCTCCAAGAAGGGCCCAAGAGGGCCCCCAAACGGCGCAAGAGAGCCCCCAGGGGCCCTCAGGACTGCCTCGAGGAAGGCCCAGACAGCCACAAGACGGCCCAAACGAGTTCCATGAGGGCTCCTCAACTAGTAAATACGAAAGGTGTCACATGTGAGGGCTTTCCTCTTCTTCCTCCTCCTCCTCCTCCTCCTATTATTCCTCCTCCTCCTCCTCCTCCTCCTCCTCCTCCTCCTCCTCCTCCTCCTATTCTTCCTCCTCCTCCTCCTCCTCCTCCTCCTCCTCCTCCTCGTCCTCCGTAGCCATTTCTGGGTCCAGGGGCTGGCTCGCCAGATTGACTTCCGCAGCAGTGGGTAGTAGTTGTTGTTGTCATTGTAGTAGTAGCACTAGTAGTAGTGGTAGTAGTAGTAGTAGTCGTAGTCGTCGTAGTTGTAGTCGTAGTAGTGGTAGTAGTAGTAATAGTAGTAGTAGTAGTAGTAGCACTAGTAGTAGTAGTAGTAGTAGTAGTAGTAGTAGTAGTAGTAGTCGTAGTAGTAGTAGTAGTAGTGGTGGTGGTGGTGGTGGTGGTAGTAGTAGTAGTAGTCGTAGTCGTAGTCGTAGCACTCGTAATAGTAGTAGTAGTAGTAGTAGTAAAAGTACTAGTAGTAGTAGTAGTAGTAGTACGTAGTAGTAGTAGTAGAAGAAGTAGTAGTAGTAGTAGAAGTAGTAGTAGTAGTAGTAATAGTAGTAGTAGTAGTAAAAGTACTAGTAGTAGTAGTAGTAGTAGTAGTAGTAGTAGTAGTAGTAGTAGTAGTGATAGTGAAATAGTACTAGTAGTAGTAGTAGTAGATGAAGTAGAAAAAGAGGTAGCAGTGGTAGTAGTAACATTAATAGTAGTAAAGTCGTAGTAATGGTAGTAGTAATACGACTAGTAATAGTAATAAAACTTATTACTCACTGCGTGGAACTCCCCGCATGTGCATCTATTCGCATGGACCTGTCCGCCGTGAATGTCTAGGCGCAAGAGCTTTCGAATATAAACGGGCTTCAGTTGTGACGGTCTGGACACGAATCTAACTGCGAACGAATTGGAGTGTGAATGAGCCTCAGTAGTACGAGCGCGTCTCTGCGCATGAGCCTGTGGCCGCCTGGGGCCTCCTGAAACCTACTGGGGTTTCCTGGGGTCTCCAGGAGTCTCCTGGGGCCTCCTGGGACCTTCTAGGGAGGTTTCGTGCCCCAGGGGAGGCCCAATATATAGCAACAGACGTACATAAAACATTGCGGATTAGAGCCACAGGAGAAGGGCAACCTATAGGAACACACATAAAACACCAAGGGCTCGTGCCCCAGGAGAGGCCCAATATATATATATATATATATATAATCATAAATGTAGGATTGTGTTCACAGGAAAAGGACAACATATAGAAGCATACGTATACCATTAAAGAATCGTGCTCCACGTGAGGCCCAAACGATAGGAGCAGACGTAAAACACATGGGATTGGAGCCACTCCTGTTGCCTTCTGAGGCCTCCTGCTCCTGGGGCCTCTCGGGGCCTCCTGTTGCCTTCCGGGGCCTCCTGGCGTTTCCTGTGGCCTCCTGGGGCGTCCTGTGGCTTCCTGAGGCCTTATGGAGCTTCCTGGGGCATCCTGGAGCCTCTTGGGACATCCTGTGGCCTCTTGAACCTTTCTGTGTCCCAGGGGACCCCCAAGAGGCCCCAAGAGCCCCCCCAGAGACAACCAATAAGTCCAAGAGACCTCGGCGAGAATGCCAAAATCATTGATTGTATTTAGGTTTTGGCCACATGTTGGCCTCCTGGGGGGGGGCACTGCTCAAGATGATTCCAAGAGCGCCTGGGGGAGCCCAAAATGACCTCCAAGATGGCTCAAGATATCCCAAGATACCTCAAGATGGCCCCCACGATGCTCCAAGAGGCCCCAAGACCGCTCCAAGACGGATCTAAGTGGCCAAAGAGCTCCCCCAGGAGGCCCCGAACAGGCCCAAATCCTTCCAAAACATGCGGAAAATCCATGTGTTTGGTTTTCTCGCCTTTTCGCTTCCGATGGCCATCCGAGGCCTCAAAATGGTTCCAAGATGGTCCAAGAGGGTTCCCAGGGGCGCTTCAAGAGGGCCCCAAGAGGCGCCCAGGAGGCCCCAGGAGGCCCCAACAGGCGCCCAAGAGGCCTCCAAGAGGCTGCCAAGAAACCCCCAACAGGCCCCAAGAAGCACTCCGAGGCACCCGAGATTCTCTAAGAGGCGCCTGGGACCGCCAAGAGGCCCCCTAAGACGTTCCAAAAGACCTCCAATGGGGGCCATTCCTCTGTGTGCTGCCCACTTCCCTGATCGAGGCAATTCCTTTGGGCATCGTTTCTGGATGGGCTGGTGGGGTTACTTTTAGTCGGCAGCCGCAGGCGAGAGCGCCAGCGGCGAGTCAGGGTCCGAGCGGGGCGCGCGAGGGCCAAATTAATCAGAAGTGAGCCTGCTGGTGGGGTTACTTTTTTTCAGCGGCCGCGGGCGAGCGCGCCGGCGGCGTGTCAGGTCGAAGCGGGCCACGCAGAGACGAATTGGCACAGGAAACGCGGGAAAACCAAACAGAGCGACGGGCGAGGCGACAACTAAGCGCGGTCGAGGCCTCAGCTGGGGGGCTGCCGGGACTGAGCTGAGGGGGTACTGCCAGGGTGCACGCATGCAACGCGTCGGAAGCAGCAGCCGGCCAGGGTGACCGGCGACCAGGGACTGCAGCAGACGTGGAAATTAGTTGCAAGGGCGCAAGCCCCCGGACTACTACGAACGTACCAGGGTGGCCGCAGCCAACTGAAACGACTGACGCAAGTCGAATTGGGTGCCCAGAGGGGGCGTGAGCATCGGCAAGCTGCAAAGAACCAGGGTGGCCGGGGCCAGGAGGTCCAACATCAGCAGAACGCACAAGTGCGAGGAGCAGCCGGAGCTGCAGCGCGGCCAGAAAAAAGTCGCAGCACTAGTAGTAGCAGTAATCGTAGTCGTAGTCGTAGTCGTAGTAGTAGTAGTAGTAGTAGCAGCAGCAGCAGCAGTAGTAGTAGTAGTAATAGTAGTAGTAGTAGTAGTAGCAGTAGCAGTAGTAGTAGTAGTAGTAGTAGTAGTAGTAGTAGTAGTAGTAGTGGTAGCAGTAGTAGTAGTAGTGGTGGTGGTGGTGGTGGTGGTGGTGGTGGTGGTAGTGGTGGTAGTAGTAGTAGTAGTAGTAGTAGTAGTAGTAGTAGTAATAGTAGTAGTAGCAGCAGTTGCACATTAACAACGCAGTAGTAGTAGCAGTAGTAGTAGTAATACAAATTGTAGTAATAATAGTAGTAGTAGTAGTAGTAGTATAGTCGTAGTAGTACTAGTAGTAGTAGTAGTAGTAGTAGTAGTAGTAGTAGTAGTAGTAGTAGTAGTAGTACTAGTAGTAGTAGTAGTAGTAGTAATAGCCGTTGTAGTCGTAGTAGTAGTAGTAGTAGAAGTAGTAGTAGTAGTAGTAGTAGTAGTAAGAATATTCCGATAATGAACAATAGTAGTACTAGTAGTAGTGTTACTAGTACTAGTAGTAGCAGTGGTAGTAGTAGCCGAAGTAGCACGTGTAGCATAGCAGTAGTAGAAGGAGTAGTAGTAGTAGTAGTAGTAGTAGTAGAAGTAGTAGTAGTAGTAGTGGTAGTGCTAAGAGTGTAGTAAGAGTAGCAGTAGTAGTAGTAGTAGTAATAGTAGTAGTAGTGGTAGTAGTAGTAGTAGTCGTCGTCGTCGTAGTAATAGTGGGACTAGTAGTAGCAGTAATAGTAGCAAGACAGCAGTAGCACAATGATAATGTCAATCGTAGCCGTAGCAAAGTAGTAGTAGTAGTAGTAGTAGTAGTAGTACTAGTAACAGTAGCGAAATGGTAGAAAAGTACTAGTAGAAGCAGCGAAAGCATAATACTACAGGTAGTAGTCATAGTAGCGTTCGTAATAGAAATAATAATTGTAGTGGAAACAATTGTAAAAGTAGCACAGTAGTTGCACTGTAGTAGCAGTGGTAGCAGTAGTAGTAGTAGTTGTTGTAGCAGTAGCAGTAGTAGAAATAGTAGTAGTAGTAGTAGTAGTAGTAGTAGTAGTAGTAGTAGTTTTCGTAGTCGTAGTAGCAGTAGTAGTAGTAGTAGTAGCAGTAGTAGTAGTAGTAGAAATAATAATAGTAGTAGTAGTTGTTGTTGTAGTAGTAGTAGTAGTTGTTGTAGTAGTAATAGTAGTACGAGTAGTCACAATAATTGTGGATCCCACGATCGGCGAGAACCAGACGCCCTTGGAGCCGACGCGCACCGCCGCTCCGGAGGCAGGCGGCTGCACGCGCCTGCCGTTTCGCCCTGCGGTTCGTCGCGCGCGCCAGCGGCGGCGGAGGCGAGCACCCCCCGCCTCGGCATCAGGGACTTGCTTGAGACGTTCTCCGAGTCCATGAATGAACACTTGTCTTTCTGCGGTTGGAGTGGTGACTGGCGCTCCTATTTGAACGGGAACGCAGACGTGTCCGTGGATGTCCGGCCCGGCCAGTCGGGCCACATTCTGCCCCTAGCTAACGCGAAGGGCCAGGAGGTCCAGAAGAGAAAGCTCACCCCGGAGGAGAAAGCCGAGTTCGATGTTTCAGATCAGACAGGCAGGAGCCGGCGCTGGCCAAGGAGGAGGCTTTCGCCCATGGCCTGCGCGCGGACGTGGCCGAGGGCACTCTGCTGGTCCAGAGCGCGCGAGCCGACGACTTCTGGGTGCTGCTCTGCGAGGCCGAGGGGCGCCTTCTGGTGAACCAGGCGATCGCCGACGGCCTGAGCGTCGAGTTCATGGGAGCTCGTGCTGTTGCCTGGCGTTTCACAAGGGAGCTTCAGCAGTTCGGCACGGGCGCCGGCTTCTGCAGCGCGTGCGGCGCCGAGCTCGGGAAGACGACGGCCGTCGGCGATTGCATCGCCGGGCTGGCGGTTGAGGAGAAGATCGGCGCCATCCTTAGCGTCGAGGAGTGAAGTACCGAGCTAGCAGAGGATAAATACGTCGACGGTGATGCGGCTCCTGGAGGCGCTGCGCGTTGGGCCGACCCGACTCCGAGGGCGAGACCAGGGAGGCCGCCAAATTCTCGGGGTTCCCATTCGGTGGCTGGGCCGAGTCTTCTCTTCCACGGCCCGCTCCCCTTCAGGAGGACGCGACGTACCTGCTGCTCGAGCAGGCTGTGGACATGGTCAACATCCGAGAGTTCGCTCTCAACCCTATCGACGGCGAGGCCGTGGCTGCCTTGGCTGGGCGTGGCGACGCTCGGGCCTCTCAGCTCGTCGAGGAGACGATCGCGGAGACGGCCACGACCCGCAACCTCAGCGGAAGTATCAGGGCCGCCGCTCGCCGCGCAGTGAGGAGAAAAGGCATGAGGATCACAGTCCAGTGAGGGACAGGGACAGGGACAGGGAAGAAAAGGCATGAGGATCACAGGAAGCATCAGGGACTCCGTGCCGCAGCAGTCCAGCGAGAAGAGAAAAGGCATGAGGACCACAACGAGAAGGAAGGCAGGAAGCAAATCGAGCAGGGAGCGCGTGGCCGTTTGCCGGCGACCTGGAGGACGTGGAGGCCGTGCGCATGCGAGGCGCGTCGGCCCTCCGAGGCCGGCATCCTGCGGACCCCACGTCTCAGCAGATGATTCCTGAGGCGGCCGCTGCGGGCCCGCACACTCCGCACCTGTCTGAACTCCCTCATGTCTTCCTTACCATGCCCATTCGAGGTGATAGGTCTGCTGAGCATAGACTTCAGTGTGCCACTGTCGGCTCCCAGGCCCTGCCGTGGGGAGCCCTGCGGCAGAGACAGATGTTGCAGCGCGCTGTGTGCATTCGTTGTCTCGGCTCCCAGGCGCCGCCCTGGAGTGCCCGATGGCTGGAGCTTCCTCGAGCGCGGCCGCAGCACAGCGTACCAGGGAGGAGCGACGCCGACGCCCCGAACCCACCCTGCCATGGTGGCGGCCTCTCCCCACCCTCCGTCTGGAGGAGGCGAAGGGCCAGGGGGAGTCGACCTTCGGTCGTCTCAGCGGGCTTCGGGGCCTCTGGCTCCTCTGCTTCCCGTCCCTCCTCCCCAGCACGCTGTGCTTTACAAGCTCCTCCTCCTCCTCCTCCTCCTCCTCCTCCTCATATTCCTCCTCATCCGTCACATCATCATCATCATCATCATCATCATCATCATCATCATCATCATCATCATCATCATCATCATCATCATCATCATCATCATCAGCAGCAGCAGCAGCAGCAGCAGCAGCAGCATCAACATCATCAACACCATCACCATCACCATCAGCATCAGCATCATCATCATCACCATCATCAGCATCAGCATCAGCATCAGCATTAGCATAAGCATCATCATCATCATCACCATCATCATCGGCAGCATCCTCATCATCATCATCATCAGCAGCAGCAGCAGCAGAATCATCATCATCAGCATCATCGTCATCCTCATCATCCTCATCCTCATCCTCACCAGCATCATCACCAGCACCATGATCATCATCATCAGCAGCAGCATCATCAGCATCATCATCGCCACCACCACCATCATCAGCATCATCGTCATCATCATCATCATCATCATCATCATCATCATCATCATCATCATCATCATCATCCACATCATCATCATCATCATCATCATCATCATCATCATCATCATTATCATCATCAGCATCGTCATCATCAGCATCACCGTCATCGGTATCATCAGCATCATCAGCAGCAGCATCATCCTCTGCATCAGCATCATCATCATCATCATCATCATCATCATCAGCATCATCATGGTCATCATCATCATCCGCAGCATCATCATCAGCATCAACATCGTCATCATCAGCAGCATCAGCAGCATCCTCATCAGCAGCAGCATCACCGTCATCATCAGTATCAGTATCATCATCATCATCATCATCATCATCATCATCATCATCATCATCATAATCATCATCATCATCATCATCACCATCAGCAGCATCATCATCATCATCATCATCATCATCATCATCAGCATCATCACCAGCAGAATGAGCATTGTCGTCATCTGCATCAGCAGCATTAGCATCAGCAGCATCATCAGCATCATCAGCATCATTATCAGCATCATCATCAGCAGCAGCAGTTTCGTCATCCTCATAATCAGCTACATCAGCAGCAGCAGCATCAGCATCATCATCATCATCATCATCATCATCATCATCATCATCATTAGCAGCATCATCAGCAGCATCATCAGCATCATCATCATCGTCATCATCATCAGCATCATCATCATTATCATCATCAGCATCATCAGCATCATCATCAGCATCGTCATCCGTATCATCAGCATCATCATCAGCAGCAGCATCACCGTCATCGTCAGCATCATCTGCATAATTAGCATCATCAGCAACATCAGCAGAACCATCATTAGCATCAGCATCATCATCACCATCATCAGCAGCAGCATCAGCATCAGCATCATCATCAGCATCATCATCGTCATCGTCATCATCAGCAGCATCAGCATCATCATCAGCATCAACATCATCATCAGCATCATCATCAGTATCAGTATCATCATCATCATCACCACGACCATGATCCTCAGCATCATCATCGTCATCAGCATAATCATCAGCATCATCATCACCATCATCATCGTCATCGTCATCGTCATCGTCATCGTCATCAGCAACATCGTCATCAGCATCATCAGCTTCAGCATCAGCATCATCATCATGAGTATCAGCAGCAGCAGCAGCAACAGCAGCAGCATCAGCATGAACATCAGCACCAGCACCAGCACCAGCATCATCATCATCATCATCATCAGCAGCAGCAGCAGCAGCATCATCAACATCATCATCAGCATCATCAGCATCATCAGCAGCAGCATCATCAACAGCATCATCATCACCATCACGGCTCTCCCAAGCCTGGAGACACGAGGTGTCACACGTGACGGCCTCCCGTGCCCCCTCGAATAGTCGCCACACAGAACGCTTGGCTGGCACGGCGGCGGGACTTGCCGCAGACAGCTGGCTCCCGAGGTGCTGATGATGTCGCGCATGGCTAGCAGTCTCCCAACATCAAGGGCAATGGTCAGGATCAGCATTGAACCCATAAAAAGTAGCATCTGCCACCTGCTCAACTGGTAGGCTTTCGTCGTGTGGTACCGGGATGTGTCCCAGAACCCGTGGGCCAGAGTGCCCATGACGAGAACAAAGCAGATCACGGATATCATATGAACGGTGCTGCGGCACAGCTGTGATTTTCTGGTGCGAGCGAACCCCTTCTCTAGCATTGGGTCAAGGAACCTCATGGTGAGGCGATCGATGCCGTTGACATACCTAGGTCCCAACCTGCAGGGCCACCGCATGTCATAGCACGGCGCTCCCCCTGGACCGTCGCGAAGTGTACCCGCCATGATCAGCACCTCTCGGACATAGGCTCGTTGATTTTGAGCCCGCCTTGCCTTGAGCCAAAATGGGCACGCCGTTCTCTGTTCTACCACTGGAGGGAGAACTGCCAACATCCCATACGTCGGCGGCGAGTGAAGGGGGGGAAGCGAGAAGGAGAAGGCCTCCTCAGAAGGTTCGGAAGCCCCCCCGCCGTCCGAGAAGTGCTCTGAGCTTTCCCCGGCGACAGAAACAGCCTCTCAGAGGGCGCGAGGGCTTCTGAGAGCCCCGCCGCCTTCTGAGAAGGCCTTGACCCTCTCACTCCCCCCCCTCGCTCGCCGCCGAGTACACAGAGGGCAGAAAATCCACCCCGATGGTAACCACCCCGACACGCGAGGCCGTTTCGTCAACGCACCCAGAGAAGGAATCGAACGGGGCAGAGCTGTTCTCAGTGAACGCCCAGGGCCGTTTCGTAAACGCCAACTGTCCGGTCCAGGGGGGTGGTTTCCTCCCTCGAGCACAGGCGTTCTGCCTCCGAGGTCTCAGCATCTTGGAGGCCTGGAAATGAGCACCAACACCAACATGGGGGTGCCTCCACAAGGGGAAGATGAGCCAAAATTCCGGTGCTGGTGGTAATACTTCGGCCACCTAGGCATCCCGACTATATATTACCACCACCACCACCACCGAGATCGGGACCTTCCTCCCTCGTGGAGGCGCACCGCCGAAATTGGTGCTGGTGTCAACCTCTAGGCCGCAGAGATCCGATGTCGTGATTTTTTCAAGACGGGGTCCCCGGAAGTCTCGACCCATTCCCCAGGACCGGTTTTTCGTCCTGAACCGTTTTCTGACGGTCCCGGGGCCCGGCGAGGGCCCTTTGGGGCCGAAATTTGCGAAGAACCTCCGCCTTGATTTTTTCAACGCGTTGGATCTCTGGGGGGCACAGGCGTTCTGCCTCCGAGGCCTGCGAGCACCCACGCCTCCAGCAGCGGTGCGACACGGCGCCCGCAGGGCCCCCAGGGAGGCAGGGGGGCGCGGCCCAGGGCCGGCCGCGGGCCGGGCGGCACCCCGGGGGCCGGCTCCCCCCAGCGCCCTGCTGCGGGCCCCTCGGCCCAGTGGGCAGGCCAGAGGGCAACCGACGACCCCAGGGTGACCACGAGGGGGGGATGCGAAAGCTCGGGGCCGCGGGGGGAGGATCTCAAAGAGTGGCCCGGCAGGGTCCGCAGAGAGGCTGTTGGGGAGGGGGCTGAGGATGTGCCTCCCCCCTCTTCCTCCTCCTCATCCTCCTCCTCCTCCTCCTCCTCCTCCTCCTCCTCCTCCTCATCCTCCTCCTCCTCCTGCTCCTCCTCCTCCTCCTGCTCCTCCTCCTCCTCCTCCTCCTCTTCCTGCTCCTCCGATAACGCTACTCCCCAGACCTCTCCCCGGGTGCTGTCCTACCAGAACGTCGAGGCGAATCCAGCGGTGGCAACGAGGGTCTCCAAGGAGGCCCAAAAAGTTGGACGCCCGGAGGGGTTACGGGCAGAAGTGAGCACAATGCCCAACAATAAGTGTTGTCCGAAACCAGCAGCGGCCGCTGTTGTGCAGGCGGCCTCGTGCCGCAGACGGACACATTCCGCGACGACACCCACAGCGAGTCCTGTCCAAACTGAACAGGAACTGCAGTCGGTCTTTGCGCCCATCCTTTCTGTACACACCTCGATCGTCCATTTAATATGTATATGGTTTATATATGTACATTTGTGTACTCCAGATTTCGTAATAAAAGGGAGGGGGTCTCAACCCTCCCAGACGAGAAGTTTTAGACCCCCCCCCCGTGGGAGAACCCTCCAAAACATCGTCGCCAGACCCCCCCAGGCCCTCCAAGATAGCCTGGAAGAGACCCCCCCCGAAATGAGACCCCCTCTCCCTCGATTACGAAATCTGGAGTATATATAGGTTACCCAAAAAAAGAAAACAACACAAAACAAAAAACAAAAAACGAGGCAAGGGCAGCGGGCTTCGGTACCTCTTCCTCCTCCGGCCTCAGGGCAGCGAGGGCCCGACCGCAGCCGCCGCGCGAGGCGCCCCCCCGCGGCAGAGGGCCGAGAGCCGGGCCGCCCGACCGGCCTCGCCCCTCGCGCCGCGCGAGGCGCGGCCGTCCTCGCGCCCTCCCGCGACAGGGGAAAAGACCAGGTCGCCCACAGTCGGGGCCTTGACCTAAGGAGCCCAAAATGAGGAGCGGGGCCCCTTTTTGCCATAAGTGAAACTTCGATGTCCGAGCGAAAACGGAAGGGAAACCTCGGGCAGGCTGCGAAACACTTAAGGAACGCGGAGCCCCTCCCCAACGAAAAGGCTTCCTCCTTCAGGGCCCCGACTGTACTCCAGCCTTCGTAACAAAAGGTGAGGGGGTCACAACCATCCCAGGCGAGCAGCGTTAGTAGAAGAAGAAGGAGAAAAAACACCACACACGTAAAGTTTCGGCGCTCAGCGCGGATTTCTTGGATCTGCGCTGGACCCCCCCCCCTGGCGCGCGGAGCGCGCCAGGGTCGGCGCCGGAGGCGCCGCCAGGGGTGCGCCCAGCGCGGATCCGAGAAATCCGAGCAGAGCACCACAGTTTGTTGATTGCATTTTTCTTCTTCGAAATAAACCCTCTTTGAAGCCAAAAACATTGATGTTACTACGGTTTTGGCCCCATTTTGGCCTTTTGAGGGGCCAGCGCTCATTACAGATCCCCTCTTCTTTCAAGGCAAAATCATGGATGTTACTAAGGTTTTGGGCCCATTTTGCCCTTCTGAAGGGGCCAGCGCTACTTAAAGCTCCCTTCTTTGTTGTTCGATTTCCTCCCAGATGGCTCCGAGAAGCGCCCAGGAGGCACCAAGAGGCCCCAAGATGGCCCCAAGAGGCACCCAGGAGGCTCCCAAGAGGCCTCCAAGAGGCCCCCAAGATGCCCCCAAGAGGCCCCCAAGAGGCCCCAAGAGGCGCCGATGACGCCCCAAAAGGCCTCCAAGAGGCTCCCAAAAGACATCTACTACTCCTT